ATATTCAGAGGTGGCTTATAAGAATATTTTACTTACACATTATCTGTGGTAAAAGTGAAATGTAAATAGAAGTTTCAAAAACCCATGAGGACGTAATTCCCGACGTGTAATGAGTGATTCCTGAGTAAGAGAGGGCTTTATGCGAAATCATCCGGCGCCAACCCCAAATGTTGCAACCCTCCGCGAAAATATTAAAGCGAGGAACTATTTTTTTTCCGTAATTAGAAATCGTCATTGAATATAAAAGTTGTTTTGGTTACCAAACATGGCCGTCGGCCTCGCCCCAGGTGACTTGAAGCGCGATTTCAAGATGGAGTACACTTCAAAACGGCGGGAAAAATTGTTGACAGGTGTCAATCTATCTTTTTTTTTGTAGAGGCAAAGGTTTTTAATTTTTATGCCAGTGTTAAGTAGTTAATTATTGTTGTTTTTTATTTGCGTTACAAACTTTATTGTTTTGTAATGAAATTTTGAAACATGCCTCAGAATTGGGGTTTAAGCTAATTTGAACTAAAAGCTCATAACATTAACTAAAAAATAATCATCTTGCTCATTGACTTACCAAAATCTATACAAAGTAGCTATTCTTGAAATTAAACAAAAAAATAAGAAAGTACACTCGTATTTTTAAACATACTGTATCTACCGAATAATATGGCTTTTTTTCTTTACAATAAGGTTGAAAGTTTTGATATTTGAGAAGTGTAAAGAAAGGGTAAGACACTATCGATATGTCAGGAAAGATAATCTTACTAAATAAAATTATAAATGTTAAGGTGGGTGGATGGATGTTTGCTGCTAAACTGATGTCGATGAAATATGGCATAGATTTATAGGATAGTCTGGAAGAACACACATATGACTTTTGAGCCCGGAAATAGTGAGGGTTCCTATGAGATACTTTAGTATTGTTTTTTCATGTTTCCTCCATAATTCTGCCACGATTTAATACATGTTATTGGAATTTAGCACAGATAAGAACAAAGTCTGGAGTAATACAGGATACGATTCATCCCCAAAAATTTAAGGTTCTAGAGGAATACGTAGTTTTGTTTTTAAATACTGCACGGACTAAGTCGCGGGCAATAGCTAGTCATATCATACTAAAATTATAACTGCGAAAATTTAGATGGATGGATGGATGTTAGAGTTTGTAGCATAAACAGCTGAACGGATTTGTATGACATTTGGTATAGATGTAGAGGATATTCTGGAAGAACACATAGGGTACTTACTTTTGTTTTTTTAATTCCACGCGGATGGAGTCGCGAGCGAAAGCTAGTATTTAATAAAGAATATATATACCGAAATGTATGCATCGAAAGTGCATGAATGTCTTACGAATCGAGGAAGCTACAACTTCCTGCGGGCGTTCAGGATACGTTGATGGTATTTTAAAGTATTTCTCGTCACTTACCTACGGCAATGTGTCGTCTTATATCGATGTGTGCGTCTGTACATATTAGTGTGAGCGTGTGCGTGCATTTCGTAAGTTCATTCACCCTGCTAGTTGGGGAAGTTGGGACTAGCAGAATGAATAGAGTCGCGGTTTCAAATGTTTGTTTTGAGACGCTTTGATGTGTTAAATCCTTTTTCTTTGTTTTAAAGGAATGTTGGTAATTTTTTTTTGAATCTATAATTGTGTTTTTCAATCTCATACATTTTTGAAGTGTGATTCAAAAAATAAACAAGCGCTGAAACGCGAGTTTTAAAGTTTTACGATCTTAAAACATTTCTAAGTTGTAGCTTAAGTCAACTTGAGTGTTTTTACCCAAATTACTTATTAATAGCATTTTTTAGGGATTGATACACAATCAAATTGTTTTAGTTATAAATAAAACATAACTCAAGAAAAAACAAGGAATAGCGTGACACAACAATTTTAAAAAAATAAAAATTATCACATATTTTTTTTTAATATCAAGTATAAATATTTAATATAAAAAATCCACTCCACTGATTTCCTTTACGTCCGATATTTAACCAAGTCGCGGAGTTGCATTTTTGCCACGCACGCACTACACGCACGAATGTGTACGCACACACGCACACATACAAACGCTCCTCATTACGTAGAAATAGCCCATAATATAAGAGCAAGTGCGTATGGTAAACGCTTTTTTAAACTCACGTACGACTCGCATTAAAATTCTTTTTGAGGTAGGCAGAGTCTTAGAACGCGGGAAATGTGCCTGTAAATTTGTTAGTATTGCTATTATATCGTATAAACCTTTTTGACTTTGATAAAATCGGGGTTTAGTACTATAATTAACCCCAGTAACCCCTTATTTCTTAAACTTGCTAAAAATTACGAATAGAATACTGCTATAGTTGAAGCCAATAATTAATTATGGAAGGCCGGTAATAAAATGGATTGACAAAAACTCGTCTCTTTTATCTGTTTTTAAAAGCAAATGAATTAAAAAAGTTATGTAAAAATACATAACTAACCCAAAAATCTATTCAAGATCGATTTTACAGTTGATTTAATTTACACAACTATCTTTGTCTCTAGCCACCCCTATTAGATTTTAACGGTCGTTAAACATTTCTATAAAACTTCCGAACAATTGAGCGAACTAAAACTTAGTTATGCATATGTACGTTATACTAATAAACTATTAAACAAAATTTTTCGTCCCCTTAAACTTTGATTGGGATAGAATCGAACCCCAGACCTCGGCGAATGTCCGCACGATTTGTCGACGTCAATAAGTCACCGGTAGATCGTAAAATCCGACCAATTGTGAAACGACCAGGAAATATAAAACAATTCACAAAATCACACTTTTACCCGTCATTTGTGCAGCTAACAATGTCTCATTCGATAACACTGACAGTGCAATTGTCAAGGGAATTATTGAGTTAACTCATGTTGTTGTCTCTGTTCTTCCAAAGAGAAAATAAAATATGTTTATATTTATAGTAAAATAACAAAGTAACGAATTATATCACATGTGATTTTATTCGATGTGCAATGTGCGGATTTTTTTGTCAAATCTTGGCAAATTACAAATAGTCGACATTCATGATCTGTCGGTGACATGGTGAGTGGGGCTCTTGTAAGCTAAACCCCTACTGATTGAGCTTCTTAAATACCGAGATATTTTATATGAAATTAGGCACAATTCAATAGCCCGTAGGTAAACTGGACAAAGGATTTTTACATTCATTCTCGGACGTTTATTTCAATGGTTTTGGATTAAGTTGCATGAAGTATTCATTAGAATGATAGTACTCGTATATTTAACTAGCTGTTCTTGTGCTTCATCCGCATCAAACTATAAAAAACTATTTTATTGTTCACAATCAAATTCTCAATTGCAAATGTCAAAATACGAATTACCTTGCCATGGCAATTTTCCTTTCTTGATGTTGGCAGCAACTTATGGTCTCTTTCCCACATTAGGGTTTTTATTCAAATTATTTAACACCTAAATTTAATAGCGTGAAAATACATAGTCTAAAGCGTGACGTAAGTTATTAAAAAAATAATTATTCAAAAATATGCTGTGATTTCTGAGATTCTACGCCACAAAGTAGTGTGTGTTTACGCTTTATTATATTAGTAAAGATTAAATCATTTTTTAAAATAATAACTGTGTTTACGTTAAGATAGTTTAGTAATAGTCGAAGGCCTAATCTAGATATTGAAACCTAATTTAGTTTTCGTTTTGTTTTAGTGTTTCATCGTTTAAAGAAATATGGAAGGAGGCTGAAATTAAACGATGTTTCTAGTAATACAGTAGTTGGATAACTAAAATCAAGAATATAATAATGCTAAACAGAAAACGTGAGTATTCTCTTTTCAATTATTGTTTTTAATTACTGTTTTCTTATTATTATTTTTCTATATTGAGGAAGGAATAAAGTTACTTTGCTATTATTGTTTTCTACTCGTGCTGCCATCTATTATCGAGCAGTGTACAATCCGTTAGAAATGTGGTCGATAACAGTTGAAAATTCTTAAAAAAATTTAAAGATATGTTTTAAAAAACAATAAAAGTTGTTAAATAAATTATATTCAGCTATAGGGAACCACCTCGCAGTTTTGCCCAACGTCCACCCGTGGGCAAGACGCCCACTAAGATACCAACATAATCGTAACAAAATTCTTTGTCCCTTATAATTAGGACGTGTTGAGTGATGCCTACGATTCGAGACGAACGAAACATCGGTTGTGGTCCAAGTTGAAAACGATTAGCGGAGAAATCAATACTTATATTAAGTGTTGACTAGTTTAGTATTTACCCGCTACCTCATCTACCTTGGCGACGTCATTCGGGTCTCCAGCCCCCTGTATTTGGGCGCGCATCGCCCTCGTATTTTGGTTCCAATTAGTACCGCCGTCGTAATTGTGCCGTAAAGCGGACTTAATGAATTCCTATACTTTACCCGTTGTTTGATGTAATAATACATTTGTTTTGACTACTAACGCCCTCTAACTATAACTGAGACTAGATTTTGAATATTAATATCACTACAGCCGACCCCCTTTTGACATCAGACACGGTCGTTTGAAATAGTTTTGGTGCTCCATATGGTAATAAGAAACTGTTATGCATAATTACTAGGAATTAAACTCAAAACTCTTCAAAATTCATCCAATCGAAATCTCCTTCCTGTTTTGTATAAATGGATAAGTATCTACTTGAAATGATAATCGTTTCTATAAATGGCAATGAAGATAATTGTTGGAGTTTTTATATGTTTGTATACTGGCAGGCAACACTGTACACACTGAGGATGGTTTTTTTAATTAGAATAATGTATAATTTAAATTATTAAGAATTCTACATTAGATGAAATAAAGTGAGACTTCACATCTCGACACGGAACAAGTAACATTGTAGGACTAAATAGACTTTGTATAAAATATGGTTCAGATATTTTAAATATAATGATGATTAACTAGAAGAAAGTGTTTCAATAGTCCCACACCTCCAGAGCCCCGGACGGGGGAAAGTAACCGTCCAACAATAATGTAATTAAAAAAAATAAACATGTCCATTCTTTTGACATGTGATGTCAAATTTACTTGCATTAATATATTAAAATATTATTAATCGTTGTTTTCAAGATGACGTCACATAAGATAGAAGTATGCCACTCCGCGGATCTGAAGAAGCTGTTGGTGGAAGCGGGTGTGGTGTGCGCGAGGACTGTGCCTCAATCAGAGGACATTTCGCTTAGCTCGGAGGAATCTGTCAAAGATGGTATGTAGACACAAATTATTAGGTCTTTTTGACTAAACTATTGCATAACTGTTGTGGGAGTTTGTTTCTCAGCTAATTCGACTATTTAGTTGCACAACTAAAAGTGGAGGAGTGTGTGTACCAAATGTGTACCAAAAAGCTAATAAAAATCAAAGCCTAATTTTAGTCCCTTTCCCTTTCCACCCTTTTCTTAAAAGGAAAGGATGGGAAGGAAAAGTGGATTTGACGGTGGAGAAGATGCATAGGAAGGGGAAATATCCTCTTTATGTGCGTCCTCCTCCGTCAATTAAGAGTAGGCAACGCATCTGCAATTGCGGATGTTTGTGGGCAGTGGTCGCTTTCTATTTCGGTGGATTCAGGTAGTCGCTTGCTCGTTTGCCACTTTATGTTATAAAAAAATCAAAGCGTGGCTAACCAGTTCGTTCTGTATTCCGTCTTTTGTGTTTCACTTCTTTTTAATTAACCTTTAAGTATTACATTCTTCATCATTTCACTGCTCTCATTATTTTGTCTTCCTCTATCATTCGCCATTGCAGTCATCACCTAGTCACTTTCCTGCATTCCTTACTAAGACCTTTACATTCGTTTTCATTCGCAGTTTTCGTTGCATCTGTGTATTTTGCTTGTACTGTAACTTTTAGCAGATATAGTAACTGGCCGCACTGCCCTGCCGTAATACAGTTTTTTATACTAAAACGGAGGGTAGCTGAACAATTTGCTAATAAGCAAACTAGCTTACAGACTTGCTAACATACTTATTTAAGTACTTTACTGTTTTGTGTTTATTTTAGTTTGTGTTTAGTGTGGTAATTTTATATTCTTCATTTCATTTCCTTAGTTAACTGTCTTTCTCACATATCTGTTATGCAAAATTTATCTTCTAAACTTCAAAATGATAGTTATTAACCATTTATCCAATTGCCTAGAGCCAGTTCAAGAAATAGAAGCAGAACATGAACAAATAGTATTAGAAGAAGAACGAACGTATCCCACTGAAGAGGTAGCGGAAGAACAGCCTGGAATATTTCCTACGCCATCTCTAAGGAAAATGTTACCCGAAAAAATAAGAATGATCGAGAAACATAATCGAATACATGTTCTGCCAGATGTTTTCAAAACTGATATAGATCCTATGAAGATTCCCAGGATATGTAGTACACATCCTCAGAAGTATATAAACGAATTGGCAGAAATCACAGGATGTAAGAACTACATGAACAGTTTAGCTGAGTTCTGGTTTTTGGATACGTTAGCTAATTTGTTGAGACGAGCTCAGGAGGACGGTTTTGAAAAAAGTAAGTATTAACTAGCTGTTCCCGTGCGGCTTCATCCGCATGAAATTATGAAAATTTTATTTATTGTTTAGATTTGTCAAATTACTACTACTACTACTAAGCTATTTATCCAAAATATTTACCCCCTAAGTTTAATAGCGTGAAAATATATAGCCTAAAGTGTGACTTAAGTGTAGGACTTTTTAAAAAAGAAAGAATTATTCAAAAATATGGTATTATTGCTGACATCTTAGGATTACAAAGAAGTGTGTGTTTACGCTTTATTATAATAGTATAGATAATATGAAGATTCTCACTTTACAGATCCCATCTGATGTAATAGTCATAATAGTACTAAAATATTAACACTTCTCCGATGAGCACGATAGGTGAAGTTAGAAGTACATCTACATCATCATTATCAACTTGCCCTTGTCCCTTACGGAGGGTCGGCACAGTATGTGCTGCTCTTCCATACATCTCCATCAGCCGTCATATCTGAAACCACTCTTGTCTTAAGCATATCCTCTTTCACACAATCCATCCATAGTTTTTTCGGTCTTCCTCTTCCTTTGTACCCATCCACATTCAATCTTAACACTTTCTGGTTTATGTCCCCGTCGTCTCGTCGCATATGTCCATACCACGCTAACCTTTTGCTTCTCATTTTCTCTACCACTGACGCTACTTTCAAACTTCCTCTAGTGTATACATTCTTAACTTTATCCATTCTTAAATACATATACAGAAAAATATATTTACAGCTTCGCAGATTGTGCTCATCCAATGGTTTTGCGAGTGGATGAAGGAAATTCAACATTTCGACGCAGCGACGCGACAACGCATGCTTAAGAGATTTAAGGTACATGACACACAGAACTAAATAAAATTAACCATCAATCAATTGTTGGCAATCTAACTAATATTACAAATGAGAAAGTTTAGATGGATGGATGTTTGTTAGAGTTTGTAGCCTAAACAGCTAAACCGATTTCGATGAAATTTGGTATAGACGTAGAGGATAGTCTGGAAGAACACATAGGCTACTCACTTTTGTATTTTTTAATTCCACGCGGACGGAGTCGCGGGGAAAGTTAGTAAATAAAGAAATACCTTTAGCAATCCCATATTACCAGGATATTATGCTGCTAGCAGCAGGATACCTGGCACAGTACGATGAGTTGCCCGCGCCCGCGGATGTGGGGGTGTCTTACAAGCCGGAGGAGACGTCTGGCGCCAGCCTGCCCCCCACAGCGTCTACTTCCAAGCATGTAGTTACTTTTGAAGACTTTCAATGTTGTCTCACTGATTTAACGAAGATAACTCATTATATTTTTGATTTGTAAGTCCATATTGATCACTTAGAAATAAATGGTTACAATTACTGTATACTTTTTACAGTAGTAGTGCCGGCTTTAACCTCTTAGCACTGCAGGGCCGGCACGCCCGGTGTAATACCACGACCACACAGAAGACAGGCGTAAAATGGAACCAATTC